CTTTTGACTCTGACACATGTCAGAGTTAAAAGGCAGATATTTAAAACAGCTTAAAATAAATCGTTCATGAGCTTTTAAACAACGGATTTGATTGTCTCAACTGATGCACACAAGCTGTAGATGGAACTACTAAGAATAAAGTGTGTTTCTTACCTTTAGGAGTGACAGTCAGACGGATCGGATTCCCGAACAACAACACAGTGTTACAGGCTTGCACAAAAACCTCAGAGCTCAGATGTCCTCAGAAACGATGGAAAACGTAAGAAACCCACAAGACGTGAGGCCTCGAGTCTTTAGAGCTCAGAGGAACGAACACCGGCAGATCTTCACATTTATGTGAGAATATTACACAGCGTCAGCAGCACAGACGCAGCATTCAGTGAGAGTGAAGAAGAGTGAGTGATTTCAGGTGAAGAGCCGCCAAGGACTCACCTGACACTCACCCAGGACTCACCTGGGACTCACCTGGGACTCACCTGGGACTCACCTGGGACTCACCTGGGGGTTGGGTGGGTCCCCCTTCTGATTTTCAATGTGTCCTGACTGGGACCAGAGACTCTACAGCCAACTGGAGGTTTCTGTTCAGCTCTATGTGGAAATTCAGTCACTGTGGGATACCAAGTAGACACGGTGAAGACACCTCCTACAAAAACCTCCAAGGAAGAAAAGCCAGCACCACAAGGACTAAACCAGTACAGTACTGCCTCAGGCCAGTGCAGACTGCCTTAGACCAGTATACTACCTCAGACCAGTGCAGACTGCCTTAGACCAGTATACTACCTCAGACCAGTGCAGACTGCCTTAGACCAGTATAATACCTCAGACCAGTGCAGACTGCCTTAGACCAGTGCAGACCTCCTTAGACCAGTACACTAGCTCAGACCAGTGCAGACTGCCTTAGACCAGTGCAGACTGCCTTAGACCGGCAGATCTTCACATTGTGAGAATATTACACAGCGTCAGCAGCACAGACGCAGCATTCAGTGAGAGTGAAGAAGAGTGAGTGATTTCAGGTGAAGAGCCACCAAGGACTCACCTGACACTCACCTGACACTCACCTAGGACTCACCTGGGACTCACCTGGGACTCACCCGGGACTCACCCGAGACTCCCTTGGGGGTTGGGTGGGTCCCCCTTCTGATTCTCAATGTGTCCCGACGGACCAGAGACTCTACAGCCAACTGGAGGTTTCTGTTCAGCTCTATGTGGAAATTCAGTCACTGTGGGATCCCACGTAGACACGGTGAAGACACCTCCTACAAAAACCTCCAAGGAAGAAAAGCCAGCACCACAAGGACTAAACCAGTACAGTACTGCCTCAGACCAGTGCAGACTGCCTTAGACCAGTACACTAGCTCAGACCAGTGCAGACTGCCTTAGACCAGTACACTAGCTCAGACCAGTGTAGACTGCCTCAGACCAGTACACTAGCTCAGACCAGTGCAGACTGCCTTAGACCAGTACACTAGCTCAGACCAGTGTAGACTGCCTCAGACCAGTGCAGACTTCCTTAGACCAGTATACTACCTCAGACCAGTGCAGACTGCCTTAGACCAGTACACTAGCTCAGACCAGTGCAGACTGCCTTAGACCAGTACACTAGCTCAGACCAGTGCAGACTGCCTTAGACCAGTATACTAGTGAGACTGCTTAATAACAAGGTATTTACTCATAATATCGATAGTGTGCAAAATGCACAAAAGAAGGTGTCATACCTGCTTCGGCTCGTCTGGTCTAGAGGGACCAGGACTGATGGAGACCTTTAGACCTCCTCTTGCCTCCCTGTGAGGATCCTAAGGGTTTTCCCTCAGTCTGATGACACGGTGAGAAACTGTTGAACGGTTTCTAAGCGGCAGCCGGCAAGTGCGGCCTGAGGTTTTTACCATCAGCTCCGTGGTTTCTTTGAAGATTTGATCTGCCAGGTCACATGACTCCTCATGTTCAGCAGTTCTTACCATATTATTCTAGCAGGATCCACATGTAAACATATAGGTACATGTGTGCGTATAAATACAACTACAATTATTTATAGAATATGGGCATTTCCTTTGTTAATCACCGGCCTAAACCAGTGATACATATATATAGAATAATTGGACTCTCACCTGGACAGGAAGTAGTCCACCGTGTCTGCAGGAGCTTGTGAGTATTTCCTGTGGACTGTTTGAGTATCCCTTCTGTGTACTCAGACGAGTATTTGAGTGTACCATACCCTGATACATGAGTACTGTTGTACGATTACCTTTACTGAAGTGGATCAATAACAGACACGCAGCGTCCAGGGAGAACATAGTTTACGTTTATTTATTTAAAGGCCGATTCCACCAGAAACCAACCGCCCCTTCAGCCCCCCGACCTCCGACCTCCGACAGGGAGAAATGTCCATTTAGTCCACAAACCCAGAACCACGAGCCTCAAATAACAAAAACAAGCGTCTCTCCACGACTCGTCTGGCCAAATAGTCCTCACATTCATTAATAGTTCATCTTTATTGATGTTCAGATACATCTCGTAAATGCAACATGAAAAGCACAATCACACGGAAAAGGGACGTCTCTTTGAAGCTCCAATAAAACGCCCCGGAACGAGAAGACAACAAGCTTCTATTTTCATTTTATTCTTTTAATCCCTTGGAACTTAGCAGTTGTTTTTAAGGTAAAAAGCCGCTTTCTGCTGGTTTTAAACAGGAAGTTACAGTGCTGCAGTCTAAACCCTCGGCCCCCGATTGGTCAGCGGGGCGCTCTCTGCTCTCCGATTGGCTCTCACCAACAACTCACAGGGTTCCTCACCAAGGAACCTCTCAGGAACTCAGAGAAGCCTTTGTTAATGGGAAGGTCATGGTTTGTTCCCTGCACTCTAAAACAAACCTGGTCACATGGTGCAGGAACCGAAACCCAGGAGAGAAGAACGGGAAGGAGAACATTTGATGGTTTCTGTGTCTCATGGTGGAAACAAAACAAGCAATCAGAGTCTTTTAAAGATCATTTTCTAAAAAGTTGTTTGGCAAAAAGAACCCGATTAATCGCTTGAAATACTTTGGGAAGCAAAAGCTTCTCTGGTTCTTTTCTCTTTCAATGAACAAAAGCTGCATTCTGAAGAAATGAAACACGGCAGAGTTCAAGTTCTCGAGGTTCTCCTACAGGTCGAGCTGCCGTAGTGGTCAAAGAAGAAAACACGGCGAGGACATCAGACAGCTGCACCCGTCCGTCTGCGTGTCCGTCCGTCTGCGTGTCCGTCTGTCTGCGTGTCCGTCCGTCTGCGTGTCCGTCCGTCTGCGTGTCCGTCCGTCTGCGTGTCCGTCCGTCTGCGTGTCCGTCCGTCTGCGTGTCTGTCCGTCTGCGTGTCCGTCCGTCTGCGTGTCTGTCCGTCCGTGTGTCCGTCTGTCTGCGTGTCCGTCCGTCTGCGTGTCCGTCCGTCTGCGTGTCTGTCAGTCCGTAGTGTATGTCTGTCTGAATGACCGTCGATCTGCGTGTACGTCAGTAAAGCGAGTCTGTCAGTCCGTGTGTCCGTCCGTAATGTGTGTCCGTCCGTCTGCGTGTCCATCCGTCCGTCAGTATATACATCCGTCAGCATGTCCGTCGGTCGGCGTGTCCGTAAGTCAGCGTGTCCGTCTGTCTGCGTGTCCGTCCGTCTGCGTGTCCGTCCGTCTGCGTGTCCGTCCATCCGCGTGTCCGTCAGTCCGCGTGTCCGTCCGTCTGCGTGTCCGTCCGTCCGCGTGTCCGTCCGTCCGTCCGTCTGCGTGTCCGTCTTTCTGTGTGTCCGTGTGTCCGTCCGTCTGCGTGTCCGTCCGTCCGCGTGTCCGTCCGTCCGTCCGTCTGCGTGTCCGTCTTTCTGTGTGTCCGTGTGTCCGTCCGTCTGCGTGTCCGTCCGTCCGTCTGCGTGTCCGTGTGTCCGTCTGTCCGTCTGCGTGTCCGTGTGTCTGCGTGTCCGTGTGTCTGTCTGCGTGTCCGTGTGTCCGTCTGCGTGTCCGTCCGTCTGCGTGTCCGTGTGTCCGTCTGTCTGCGTGTCCGTGTGTCCGTCTGCGTGTCCGTGTGTCCTCAGCACTCAGGGACTCGGAGTCTCTGCCTAAAACTGGTAAGAATGCCGAACCGGCTCAAAAAGAAACAGCAGAAGCAGATTTACGTCTTTTCTCCGTTGATTAAAGGAACGACAGGAAGAAGAAAACGGGGAGGAAGAAAACCCCAAAAGTATTCAAGCAGGAAGCTAAAAGCTAAAGCCTGTGTTAGCACGCTAAAACCGCTACGAACAAATCACAAAATACACTTCTCGGTTTTTTTCCCTCGACTAGCGGCGATTCGATCAAAGTCTGATGTTCTTCTCCTCCTTCTGTCCTCTCGACGTCTCGTCCCGCCGTCGGGCTTCGTCCTTCAAAAAAACAACGGAAAGGAAGCGAAGGGGGACAGCGAGGCGGTGGTCCACACGCCGCCGAAAGGAGCAGCGTCCAGTCCCGGTTCTCCCGGCGGCCACGGCCAATAAACACGGATCCACATGTTCACGTCTCGCTCGCCCACCAGCTCAGAAAGTCCAGTCTGCTCCACCGGACCACCACACGTCTACCGCCCCCCCCCTCTCCCGCCCCCCAGCCCACAGTCCGGAGCAGCAGCAGAGACGCTAAAAACGGGCGCTCCGGCAAACCGACCAGACACCAAGGGGGCGGGGTTTCATTTTTGAGAAGTTCTCCCAGGTGAGAGGGGAGGAGTCTTGTCCAAAAGCAAGGAGGAGGTGGAGGGGTGGGGGCAGTGGTGTGGGGGGGGTGTTGGATCCTGAATGTTCAGAAGGAAACCCGGCGGGTGCCTGGCGCCCCGTTGAAGAGATCCCGGGCCCTGCCGTCCAGGAGGGGCATCAGCGCTCCCCCGACAGACGGGGGGCCGGTGGGGTGGGGGTGCGCTCAGCCTCGCCTTCACCTTCTCCAGCCTCCAGCTTTTAGCGCAGGTTTCATTTTCGAGTCTTTCATCTGAGCTTATCTTTTCCTTGCTCCCCCTCGGCGTTGTGGTTTTGGGTTACGGCTGAAGTGTGGAGCTAATGATCGTCTTCTCTGGGGCACGCCGATCAATACGTATGCTCATAGGGCCTGAACTAGTGCTGATTCTGCTTCTGCTGAACCCAGAGCGCTTCAGAATCCACTGCCTAAGATGCATCATGGAGCTCGACCAGATGGACTGAAGGGGAAGAGAGAGAGTTAGCGCGATGCTAAGCATGCTAATCTCCATTCATCTGATACAGCTGCTGCTATTCTACATTTAGTAAGAAGGAGCCTTACAGAAACAAGTTTGGATGATCTAAAGACAGAAAAGGCCTCTGGGGGACAACGGCGCACCTTGAGGCTGTCGAGCAGCACGGTGGAGGACGACTCCTCCATCGGAGACTCCTGATTGGTCCAGGAGTTGCCGGTCGGCCCGGCCTGGTGCCAGCTGGTGTCTGAAGCTGCAGAGGAGGGCGGGGCCGGCAGGTAGTCCAGTCCGAAGCCGCTGACAGCCCCTAGACCACAACGACCACATGTCAACATCTGGCAGCGACCCACCAGACCCTCCTAACCCGGTCCCTGTAGACCAGGGGTCTTCAACTAAAACGTCCAGTTAGAGAAGCAAAGGCCACGACCGTGAAGGCGACCAAAGCTGCGCGGTCGAAAAGTGCGACGTCACGTTTAAATCACAAGCGTCTCTTTTAGCTTTTGGTCCGGGTGGGACGGCCTCTGGGTCCGGATCCGGACCGCGGTCCGCCAGTTAGTGGCCTCTGGTTTAGACCCTTTAACCCAGGGGTCTCAAACTCAAGTCAGGTACGGGCCAGATGCAGCCCACCTCGACCGAACGCGGGCCAGACCATTATGGCCGACGGGGAGGATGACACTGACGGTCCGACCGGCGAACGGTCGGCGCTGGGGTGGAGGTTGTAAGTGGCTGCTAACAGCGAGGTTGCTACAATATGGAACTCGCGGGCCGCACTAACATTACACTTTCATATGAAGGCGGGGGCCACAAAATATCGTCCCGAGGGCCGCAATTGGCCCGCGGGCCGCGAGTTTGAGACCCCTGCTTTAACCCTTTCTGTGATTCTCACAATAGCAAAGTAATCCAGACCGGCGGGCCGCGAGTTTGACACATGTGCTTTAAAATCCTCCTGACGTCCCCTTAGACCCTTTAGAACGTTTAGACCCTTTAGAACGTTTAGTCCCTTTAGAAACGTTTAGACCCTTTAGAACGTTTAGTCCCTTTAGAACGTTTAGACCCTTTAGACCCTTTAGACCCTTTAGAACGTTTAGAACGTTTAGACCCTTTAGAACGTTTAGACCCTTTAGAACGTTTATACCCTTTAGAACGTTTATACCCTTTAGAACGTTTAGACCCTTTAGACCGTTTAGGCCCTATAGAACGTTTAGGCCCTATAGGCCCTTTAGAACGCTTAGACCCTATAGACCCTTTAGAACGTTTAGACCCTTTAGAACGCTTAGGCCCTTTAGGCCCTATAGAACGTTTAGGCCCTATAGGACGTTTAGGCCCTATAGGCCCTTTAGAACGCTTAGACCCTTTAGGCCCTTTAGGACGCTTAGACCCTTTAGAACGCTTAGGCCCTTTAGGACGCTTAGGCCCTTTAGAACGCTTAGGCCCTTTAGGCCCTTTAGAACGCTTAGGCCCTTTAGGCCCTTTAGGACGCTTAGGCCCTTTAGGCCCTTTAGGACGCTTAGGCCCTTTAGACCTGTCGCGATACGCTATGTAGGAAAACGAGTCTCTGAAGGGGTCTTTAGGCTGGACGCTGTCGCTTCCTCCGGACGCTCGTTCAGCTCTTCGGCCGGCCGGTTGTCAGCGGCACCGAGCCGCCTCGCGTTCCGCTGACCGACCGCAGCGGACCAACCAGACCCGCTCCGTGTCCCCACACTTATTATTTTAACGTTCCGATTCTAATGTTGAACTATTAAAACGAATAAAACGTTCTTTGTTCTTTGAAAGCGTTCTTGTATCACTATGCTGGTATATTGTCATTGCGTTGGTGCCATAAGTGGTCTGAAAATTGCAATAATGTCGCAAACCGCAATAAATGTAATAATCGCACAGCAAATTTTGGATATGGTGGCGGCCGTAAACCCGCCCCTTTAGAGCGGTTAGCTCACCGGTCTTGTCGGCCTTCCAGCGGTCCACCATCCTGCGGTCCCGGCTGTCTGGAGTGCCGATGGGCCCAAAGTTGGAGAAGGGCACAGCGCCATGATTGTGCGTGGGGGGGGAAGACGGCAGGCTGCTGGGGTTGGAGGAGTGAGGGGATTGGCTGGCGGGGGTCGAGTGATCTGCCAATGAGATTAGAGAACGTTACACCGACCGAACGCACCAATGCAAATATACGCATCGTGTTCACACGAGAGCAGCTGGGAGGTACCGGAGCTGGCGGGCAGGGAGGGGGACCAGGGGGTCCCCTCGAACAGCGAGTACAGGGACGGCTCCTGGTGCATCATGGGAGCGTCGGGCTTGGAGCAGGGCGGCAGGCTCTTGCCGTAGGCCTGGCTGAAGATGCTGTTCTGGTTGTACTCCTGGACAAACGGGTTCATACGTTACAGCTGGGATCCGCTAAGGAGCCGATCGGCTCTGACCTTCGGGGTTACAGATGATTACGTCCGGGGGGGACGGGAGCAATTATACACGATTCTTCTATAATCTGAATCTCATTTGAGCTCCTTTATCACAGACATTGGATAGTGATTGACTGCCACCCGGTGGTTCAAGTCACAACTGCCTTTTTTTGTCTGAGGCGTTATTATTTCCATCTTATCCCAACAGTTTGTGACCTTTCTGTCATCAAGGGACCGCAAAAAGACTTAAAGATAAAGTGCACATTGTTGTATAATTGTGTCAGTGAAAATGTCTCAAATCGTTCTTTGTCTCCACGTTCACCTTCGTTTAAACGAACACACACACCAACGAGCTAACGTTCTAGCATCGGCCTCCTCCTTCCTTCTATCAGGACAAACACAACTCCCATGATGCAACGCTGCCTCTGCGTGTGGATGGACGGGTCTGACCTGCATGGGGAAGCCGGACATGGGCAGCAGAGACGAGGAGACGACCTCGGCGCCGCTCTCCATCCGGGTCTGGTTTGGCAGCTGCTGAGACAAAGAGGACACGTTAGTTCCTCTTCCTCTAGTCGCTGCACGACGTCTACTGACATACATGTTAAATATATTCATCCACTGCTCGACAGTTAGTTAAACTAAACCCAACAACTATGTAAGTTCTCACATTCAGCGCTTACATACTTAACCAGGGCCCTCGTTACAGGTCAAAGGTCAAATCTGGCTGTTTTATTACAGCAGCGGGTCTACAAAGATCCACAGGATGTATTTATATTATTTCACTGCTCAGGGGAGGAAGAGGACTTTCAGTAGGAATGTGCAACCGGGCTACATACAAATAAGTTTGGTCCAGGAGCAGAGCTCAGAGGACCGGCCAAGGCCTGGAAGAAATCAGGAGGCTTAGAAAAGACCAGCTCCTCCTCCTCCTCCTCAAGATCTGCTAGAGATTTTAACAGGTCAGGAGGTAGAAGAGGCTTGTTGTCCTGGTGAGAGATGAAGGGAGGAAGAAGAAGAAGGAGATCAGAGCTTCACTCAGCCGCTCAGACACAAACATCACATTCACACGTTCATCATCCTCTGGGACTTTACAGAAGAACGTCTCAGGCGCCGCCTCGTCTATTGTTTACTACTTGTTCACATGGACGAAGGGAAAAAAGCTCTCTGAGCAGAATCTTCTTCTCTGCGATTTGAGTTTCAAGTATTTGGTTGTTTGAGCTCTGATCTAATAGAATAAAGGAGAATTCACAGAAGAGGAAACAAAGGAGAAAACGAGCAGGAAAAGACGAGAATAGGAGGCGCAGAGACGAGCAGCAGGTCAGGACGTCCCCTCTTCCACCTTCTTCCTCCCCCCTCGTCTCCCCCCTGCGCCCCCTCACCTCAAACGGAGGGCCCCTGGGGCCGGTGGAGCCGTCCTGCTCGGGGCAGATCCCCCCCGGGGGAGGCCTCTTCATCCTGTCTGCCATGACAGCCAAACCGTCCCCCACCCTGTAGGTGGGCTCCCAGTAGAAGTCCTGGATCTTCACGTTGGGGAACTTCATCTTCTTGTCCATCTGGTGCTCGTAGAGTTTGAGAGGATCTTGAGCTGCCATGTAGAAGGCCGCCTGCTGCTGCTGCTGCTGAGGCTGCTTCATGGACATCGGCACGGGGGGGATCTTCTGCAGAGCGGCCTGAGCCTGGTTCCACATCTGAGCCGGCTGATCCTGGACCTGCATGAACTGACCAGACACACGGGCGTCTTCACTGACATTTGATTCTAATGTTTATAGGGTGGTCAATAGATTAAAAAAAATCAACTAATTAATCGCACATTCTGAAATTCATTCATTTTGATTGATGAATGTTTGTCTTTCTTCTAAAGAATAAATCTTAAGTGATGACTTTAGAACACGTGTATTTTAAACACAAAACTACACATTTGATCATCTTGGAGGCAGAATTCCACCGGGTGGAACATGTTGAACTAGCAACTCTTGCAGCTAGCTTAGCCTAGCAGCTAGCTTAGCATAGGTCCGTTTGCCATGGATGAATTCCTCTGCACAGTTTTCCGCCTTGTCGGTTTTACTTCTAATGCAAAAAGCTCTCTTCATCTTGATGTAACCGACTGCAGCGAGCAGCCGTACGTTGACTACGTTAAATATTTTGACAGCCCTAAATCAAAAAAATCAAAATCAAAAAATGGCCTTCATGTAGTTTTAAATAAAGTCACCAATGATCATCACTGACCTGCTGCAGACCCGGGTGGTGAGGTGGACTCTTGCCCATCCCGACCTGCTGGACCGGTTTGGTGGGAGACTGCTGGCTCATTGCCTGCAGCTGCACCGACTGCATGGCCTGGTTCTGGGGCTGCTGACCCTGGGGGGGGCAGGAGGACCCCGGGCCCTGACCCGGGCCGGGACCAGAGGGCCTCTGCTGACTGTAAGGAATGTGGGAAGGCTTCCCGGACTGGCCGGCGGTCTGGGTGTGGACGCCCGGCTGGAGGAAGGCACCGGGGACGGTCACTCCAGCAGGGAAAGTAAAGCCAGGGTTCACCTGGAGGCCTGGAAATGCCACCGGGGGCGGGATCACATAGGCCGAGGGTGGGAAACCTGCAGGGGGGCAATCAGAAACACGTCAAACACCGAGGGTCCATTTCACTTTTGCTGTATGTGTGTGTGAGTCTGTGTCTGACTGTCTGTGTGCGTGTCTGTCTGTTTATGTGTGCATGTGTGTGAGTGCGTGTGTGTGTGTGTACGTCTGTGTCTGTCTGTCTGTGTGCGTGTCTGTGTGTGTGTGTGTGTGTGCGTGTCTGTGTGTGTGTGTGTGTGTGCGTGTCTGTGTGTCTGTGTGTGTCTGTGTGTGTCTGTGTGTGTCTGTGTGTGTCTGTGTGTGTGTGTGCGTGTCTGTGTGTGTGTGCGTGTCTGTGTGTGTCTGTGTGTGTCTGTGTGTGTCTGTGTGTGTGTGTGCGTGTCTGTGTGTGTGTGTGTGTGTGTGGGTACCAGGTCGGCTGGGCAGGGGGGGGAAGGCTCCTGGGTGATGGATGGTGGGGATGAACTGGGAGGAGCAGGTGGTTTGCATTTGAGTGACGGGAGTCTTCTTGGCCTCAGGGACCGGAGTCTTCCTCATCTCCGTCTGCGCCTTCACCTGAAGAGGAGAAGAGAAGTCCGCCATCATCTTCATCTTCATCTTCATCATCGTGCACAGAGCAACATCCAGACGTCTCTACCTGTTTTACGGCGTCAGCGGCTTTCTCGTGTCCGGCCTTCTTCAGCTCGCTCTTCCTCTTCCCGTCCCTCTTCGGCTCTCCCTTCCCGGCGGCCGCGTTGCCCTTGGTGAAGTCCCGGCGCTCCTTGCCGCTGTCCTTCAGGGGGAGGCTGCGCGTGGGCTCTCGGCTCTGCTCCCTGGGCTTGATGTTCTCCTTGAAGGTGACGACGGGTCGCTCGCTCCCGTCGGGCCACGAGCTCTGCGTCTTCCCCGCCGACAGCACCGACTTCAGGCCGCAGTTGCCGCCGTCGTTGGCCGTCTGCTCGGCGTTGGACGACTCCTGCAGCACCGGCGTCTCCTTCTCCAGGGGCTCCTCGACGGCCTGCTCTGGAATGTCGGTGATGAAGACGAGGAGGCCGTCTTCGCTCACCTTGCACTGGATCAGCCTGCACAGAGGAGACAGAGGACACATGACAACAAAGTCACAGGACTCAAAGTGAGTCTGTCTCTGGAAGACGGACTCTCACCCCGGCTGGTTGTCGGCCACCCATCTGCCCAAACTGATGAGTCTCTGATGTCGGGTGTGGACCGGCAGGCCGTCCCTGTCCACCAGGACGCCCTGATGACCTTTGGTGAAGTCCAAGGACCTGAAAGACCGGAGACATTTATCATGGAAACGTTGTGACTGATTGACTGACGGCGGGAAGTTGACGGAGGACGGATTACCTCAGAGCGGGCCGGAGAGCCAGGAAACCCTGCAGCTCAAACTCCTCTGGAAGGGGCGTCACTGTGGAGCAAACAGCTTGACGATGTGACATCAAACACTCACGTTACAATGTGGACACAAATGTGTCTTTTTAACTGAACTGATAACAAGAAAAAGATTCCTGTGGTAAAAGGATCTGTGAAACAAAGCAAAACATCAGTAGTGGAATATTTCCTTCTCATAATTGAGGGTGTCCTACCCGAGGAGAAGGACACGGTGTCCTCTCTGGGCTGGAAACTGTTGAGGATGGAGACCAGCCAGGGCCAAACGCTGCGAGGAGAGGAGGTTAAAGGGAGTTAAGGGAGGGAGGGAGACCGAGCAGCATTCAGACGACAAAGACTCACTGCTGCCTCTGGTCCATGGCGGCCTCGGGGAAGATGCTGGGTCTCAGCTTCAGCCAGTCCAGAGAAACCTTGATGGCCGGCAGAGGACACTCCCCCATGATCTCCTCCCCGCGGCTGTTGTTGAGTATAACGCGGCTGCACATGACTCCCAGGAAGGACACTGGGGGCGGACGCAGAGCAGAGAGGATGTAAACATCTCAATCGCTTTTACTGTTTCTATCTCTGCTGCCAATCTAGAATTCACTCCTCTTTTCTATCTTCTCCAACCTCCTCGAACCCCAGAGTCCTCCTCCCTCCTCCACCCTTCTTCCGGGAGACTTTGTCCACTACTTTACCAAGAAAATAGCTGACATACGCTCCTCTTTCTCAAACCCACCTCCTCCTACTCGTGTCCACAGGACCTTATAATGGTTCTTATCTACAGCAAATTTTAAATTGGCTTATTTGATGAAATGCACTTTCTTGTTTCTTGCTCTTGAGTTTGTGTCCTTTATGGTTGAAATGTTCTTATTGTAAGTCGCTTTGGATAAAAGCGTCAGCTAAATGACGTGTGATGTAATGTGATGTGATGTCATGTAATGTGATGTCATGTGATGTGATGTGATGTAATGTGATGTCATGTGATGTGTAGCGGTGTGTGACCCGTGAGAGGTTCTTACTGAAGAGGCCCAGCAGCTGGAACCAGCCAACCTGCTGCTCGCCGTTGAAGATCTGCTCGCTGCCTTCAGCCGTCAGGTCCCTGAGGTGGTGGAGTTCGAACAGGTTGATGACTGTGATGTGGACCAGCTGCTGGGAGCTGAAGGCCTTCTGCAGGGTCAGTCTCTGCACGCACGCACACGCACACACACACACACACACACAGTCAATTTTAAAGTAAAGTGCTTTTAAAGTGCGTGCAGAGAAATAAAACCTGGGTGGAAAAAGCTTCACCTGGAACTGCTCCTCTAGCTTCTCCCTCAGGAGGTCCAGCTTCTCCAGACTCTTGCTCAGGTAGACGTGGCCATGGAACTTGATGAAGGCCCGAACGAAGTCAGACACGCTCCACTTGGTCTTCACCTCGTCGCGGCTGCAGAGGCACAAAGGAGGAGTTCATAGTGAGGAGAGTCTCCTTCTCATGACGTTAATGATACAGACTTAATGAATTAATGAAACACGACCAATGACATCATTGATTAGGAGGAGAAAAGACTTCAAAATGTGTGTTGCTTCTCAAGGAACAATATATAAATGAGAATAATCAATACTTTATATTTTTTTGACCACGGATAAGTATATTAATAAGGAACCGGGCCAATAAGCAGCACCGATCTCTGAACGCTGCTACCTCTCCAGAGCCTTGGACAGAGCCTTCTGCAGGTTGGTGGAGGCGGCCGGGAAGGGGAACTTGACCGCGATGCTGCGGCAGTAGTAGAAGATGGTGCTGAGGTGGTCTCCTTTGGAGGAGGCCAGGATGGCCAGCTGGTTGTAGGGCTGACCTGCAGGAGGAGCAGAAATATGTAAAACCGCAGGGAGGCAGAGTTGTAGCATGTTGTGGCTGATGAAGAACCATCCTAAGGAGACACGTCCAACATGCCAGCATTGCAGCACAAACACCAGGAGTAGAGGAGGAATGCAGACGAACCGTTGGACGGGACCAGCTGAGCTGCGTGTCGGTAGTACGACTCCGCCTGGCTGGTCTGGTTACGGTAACGAGCTGAAAGGAGAGCGGGACACTTTTACAGAGACCGAGCGGACGGACTTAAGAAGGAGCTAGCGTAGCAGGCTAACGTCCTCACCGATGTCTCCCAGGTGGACGAGGCAGTGCTGGCAGATGTAGGAGCAGGAGCTGGGTTGCGGTGTGACGATGGCGCCGCCGCCCTGTTTATTGCTGATGATGCCGAGCTGAGACGACTTGACGCGGCACGGCAGGTCCACGTTGAAGACGGTGCACAGCTCCTGTAGCAGCTGGTAGAACACGGATTCAACTCAAACCCAGAAGGACAGATCCGGACCAGGAGCGGCCTTGTGATCCATGTTTAACTCCTCCACCACTAAGTGTTTGCATTTTCTCGCCCTCGGAAACAGAATCATCATCAGTAGAAGTAGAAAGAACTAGAACAGGTCTTTGGTTCTGAATGAAATATATCTAGGAACTACTTGTGAATGCGTCAAACAAGAACCACAAGCAGGATGCATTCAGAGAGCAGAAGTGATCCAAACACAAGCCAGTTGACCCCCTGAATCCGCTTTCTTTAAACCATCTCCAAATCTACATCGTTCCAAAAACCTCAATACCTTCTGACGGCGCTTGAACACATATCGCTTCCTTCATCGGAAGCAGACCTCCCAAATGAACAGTCTGCTTTAACCAGATTGTGTTAATACATTTAGAGCTTCTCTGTGAAACTTCCTCTGAGACCAACAGGCATGTGACCATAAATGAGAGAAACTTCAGGAGGAGGAAAGCGTTTACATATTAAAGTAGCTCAACACATCAGAGAGGACAGTGTGTCCTGAACTTGGAGACTATTTCCACACACAGTTGACCAATGATACTGGTCCTGAAGCAGGTTCTGAAGCAGGTCCCTGTGAGTCGTACCTGTGTGTAGAAGCCGCTCGCTGCCTCCAGGAACAGCGACAGGTTGGCCTGCACCTCGCTGCGGTTGGGGTTGGCTCGGTTCTTGGCCTGGCTCTGCAGCGTGGTGATCTGGTTCTTAAAGGCGTGATTCCACCTGCAGCAACACAAAAAAACATCAACACCACAACCACCAGCTTTGTCTTCTTCTGGATGGAGTGGTTGAAGCAGCTTACAGGTCTTGCTCCACCTTCTTGTCCAGAGCGTATTCAAGGTCTGTCACCAGCATCTTCTGGTACAGATCCTGCAGGGCCTGTCGGGACGTCCACACCTCCGCCGCCCCCAGCTTTGAATCTACCAGAGGAGAAAAGAAGATAGAAACTAAGAGAGAGACCAGCAAGATGCCTTCAGTGTGGAATGAACAATACAGCACATCCGGTGAACATCTGGTAGGCTACAGAACATCTAGTGAACATCTGGTAGACTACAGAACATCTAGTGAACATCTGGTAGACTACAGAACATCTAGTGAACATCTGGTAGACTACAGAACATCTAGTGAACATCTGGTAGACTACAGAAGATTAAGAGAACATGTGGGAGTGAAGACACAGAGCTTCTTCCTCTCTCCACTAGCTGTACACTTGGAGGAGGAATCTCAGGGAGGAGCATGGTGGAGGTGATGGTGCAGAACGTACCTGTCATGTCAGCCTTCAGGGCCTCTGCCTGTCTGCTCGGATGTAAACAGAGAGGGGGGGTTAGAACACACACAGCATGGCTGCACTCACACCGAGCTAACAGCTAGCCACGGACACCTGACACCTGCAACGGCTCGTATAGTATCTGGGCAGCCAGCACACGGTGTTTACATCGGGCTCAGACTAATCCCTGGATCCAACATGCGACAGAACGCTCGCACACAAACACAACGAACCCGCTGCTGTGATAATTAGCGGAGCTGCTAATCACCGTGTGTCCAGTTCATAGACACGACGCCGATAAACGAGCTCCAACCGGAGAGACGAGCCGGGTGACAGCAGCAGCCCGCTAATGCTAACCTGACATACGCAGAAAGACGCCGCCGAGCTAATGCTAACTAGCAACAACACACCACCACGACTGTGTCCGTGGCGGCAAAAGGCAGCCTTAAATCCCCCCGGTGACGTAATCCAAAGGCTCGCTGTGAATAAAGCCGCACCGACCACATGGAGGACTGACTGCGAATGACTTTAACACAGCGGCGAGGCGACGGTGGGACGCTAGCGTCGATTGTTTGTTGATATGCGGAGCTAGCTAGCGCCGAACGGGCAGCTAGCTCCAGCGTTAGCCACCGACACGAAACAAGCCCCCGACGAGCCTCCTTACCGGAGATACTGAGCGCACACGTTCATCCTCCCGGACAAACCGACCCTCACACTGCCGCCGGTACGGAGGCTAACGCTCCTCCCGCCGCCATGTTGGTCCTGTCTGACCCACACAGGGCCCGTAGAGGGGAGGAGGGAGGGAAGGAGGCAGAGGGGGGAGGAGGAGTGAGGGGGGGCGAAGGTGGGGCGGTGAGAGAGAGGGAAACCAATAAGAGGATGAGGGAGGGAGGAGGAGGAGAGGAGGAAGAGGAACCTGTGGTGAGGGAACCAGTGAGGCGCTGGAGGATCTTGGGTCCTGCTTTGACTGCACAGACTGGGATGTTTTCAGCTACGGACAGTCTGGATGAGTTCACAGAGGCTGTGACTTCCTACATCGGCTTCTGTGAGGACAGCTGTGTACCATCATGCACCAGGGTGAGTTACAACAACGACAAACCCTGGTTCACAGCGGAGCTCAGAACACTACGCCTGCAGAAGGATCAGGCATTTAGGAGTGGGGACAAAGACTTGTACACAGAGGCAAAATACAGGTTTAGCAAGACGGTGAGACGCTAAACAACTGTACTGAGAAACTCCAACAACAGTTCTCAGCAAGTGACTCTGCTTCGGTCTGGAGACAAACACCTCACAAACTACAAGCCAAAACCCCCCCCACTCCATGAATGACCTCCGCCTGCAGACGGGCTGAATGAGTTCTACTGCAGATTCAAAAGACAATGTCCTGATCCCATCCCCCACAGCTCCACCTCTAACTTTATTCTCTTGTTTTATACTAACCCATAGCCTTATTCTACTAACCCATTTATTTTATTACTTGTGCACTGCTGTCTTGTTGTCTATTGTCACACTGTCTACCGTCACGCACCAACCAACAAGACATTCCTTGTATGTTTGACATATTTTGGCAATAAATATTTCCTGATTCCTGAAGGAGGGGGAGAAATAAGAGGAGAGAAAGGGGGAGGTGAAGAAAGAAGAAGCAAAAGAAGGGAGACCGAGGAGAAGAAGAGGTAAGAGGAGCAGAAGGAGGGAGGAGGAGATTAGTATTTAGAAATTACATAACAAGTCAAACATTCACCTTCTATTAGATCCATTCTGGTAAATACTTCATTCCATTTGTTGTGGATTCGCTTTGTTTTCTTTTTTAATGCTTCCTGTTGAACTTATGTATTGTTGCTGAGGAATGATTCTTTATCTCCTCCCTTCAGGAACTTGGTGTCTCAGGCTCTGCTCTCTCCCTTCTCTCGTCCTACCTCGACGGACGCTCCTACCGGGTAACCTGGTGAGGATCTGTGTCGGAACCTTGTCCTCTTACTGCTGGAGTTCCTCAGGGTTCCGTCCTGGGTCCCCTCCTCTTCTCGCTCTACACCAACTCTCTCTCGCTGTCATTCGCTCGCATGGCTTCTCCTACCACAGCGATGCTGATGACACCAACTAATTCTCTCCTTCCCTCACTCGGATCTCTGCCTGTCTGACTGGTGGAAGGAGGTCTCTGAAGACATCAGGACCACAGAGAGCCTTCACATCTTCAGACTAAAGACACACCTCTTCAGACTCTACCTCCACTAACACACTAACTAACTGTAGCACTTACATTGGACTTATAATGGTTCTTATCTACAGCGAGTTGTAAATCTGCTTATTTTATGAAATTGCACTTTCTTGTTTCTTGTTCTTCTCAGTTTGTGTCCTGATGGTTGAAATGTTCTTATTGTAAGTCGCTTTGGATAAAAGCGTCAGATAAATGACATGTGATGTGATGTAATAATTTAAATCTATTGAATACAGAAAATCAAACCTCCAATGAAATAATAATGTCTATTCAATGAAAAAAGACAAAACAAAATGATTTATGTTCAACACTTACAAACTCATGTTTGTAGTTTTTTGTAAGAATTTTGTAAATTTTCCCGTCTTTTGAATTTGTGCGTTTTGTCAATGAAAACAATGTTATGTTTAAAGCAGGGGTCTTCAACGTTTTTCAGGCCATGGTCCTCCAAACTGATGGCGAGATGGAGCAGGGACCCCTAATCTATGGAGTTTGGTCCGCCATCTTTTATTTTTGAGCTCCGCGCTCTACGTGAGCATAAAAAATATATATGCTGGATTCATGTTAATGTGTATTTAAAGAATAAATACAATTCTGATTCTGAAGACATTTAAATTTGTAAAAAAAAAAATTGTCTTATCAACCATAAATATCGCAACCCCCCTGCAGTACCTCGGCGGACCCCCTGTTGAAGACCTCTGGTTTAAAGTAACTTAGCTAATTTAAAAAAAACAACGCTGTGCAACCCGTGGAAGGAAATATTAGACTTTTTAATTAGTTTATTTAATGTTCATTATAAAACATATTATCGTTTTTTTGAATATGCTGCATAGTTAAGATCAGTTCGATAATAATGAAAAACCTGGTATATAAAGCACGTGAAGCTGGGGAAACATGTCTCCCTCCCGGACGTCAAGCTCCTGAAGTTTGTGGATGACACCACCCTCATTGGACTGATCTCTGGTGGGGACGAGTCCGCCTACAGGTGGAGTCTGACCATCTGGTGTCCTGGTGCAGTCAGAACAACCTGGAGCTCAACACTCTAAAGACAGTGGAGATGGTTGTGGATTTCCGGAGGAACAGAGCCCCACCCTCCCCCATCACCCTGTGTGACTCCCCCGTCACTATTGTGGATTCCTTCCGTTTCCTGGGCTCCATCATCACCCAGGACCTCAAGTGGGAGCTGAACATCAGCTCCATCACCAAGAAGGCTCAGCAGAGGTTGTTCTTCCTGAGGCAGCTGAAGAAACTCAACCTGCCAAAGACGATGATGGTCCACTTCTACACGGCCATCATGGAGTCCGTCCTCTGCTCCTCCATCACCGTCTGGTACGCTGCAGCCACAGCCAAGGACAAGGGCAGGCTGCAGCGGGTCCTCCGCTCTGCAGAGAGGCTGATCGGCTGCAATCTGCCGTCCCTGCAGGACTTGTTCGCTTCCAGGTCTCTGAAGCAGCTAAAAAGATGGTAGCCGACCCCTCTCACCCCGGACAAAACCTGTTTGTGCCCCTTCCATCTGGCAGGAGGCTGAGGTCCATCAGGACTAAGACCTCCCGCCACACCAACAGTTTCTTCCCGTCGGCAGTCGGGCTCATCAACAGAGCCGGTCCCCCACTGACTGACTATAACACTCCACCGGTCACTCCCCCTCACACTGCACACGCCACTTTCTGTTCGCTGGCGCATTTTATTTTTTACTTTTTAAATTTTTAAGTCAAATTCCTTGTATGTCTGTCATATTATGGTAATACATGTTTCCTGATTCCTGAAATATTACCTTGTGATAAGTATTCGCTGATGGTTCCTCCGTACTTCGTTGGAGCATTCTGAGTAAAACTCCTAAGTAATACTCCTGAGTAATACTCCTGAGTAATACTCCTGAGTAATACGAGTATTCATATTCACAAACACGTCTGTATTAACATTATGCGGCATCAGGAAACACGTGACTGTCTCCTTAAGGGAACGCTGATTCCTGCCGCAGACCCCCCCCTCCCTCTCTCACACCCTCCCTCTCTCTCCCCCTCTCTCTCTGTCTCCCCCCCCCCCCCCTCTCTCTCTCCCTCTCTCTCTCTACAGAGAGACGTAGACGGCCGCCCGCGACAAACAACCGACACGCACACCGGCACCGGAACCGGAGCGGGGACACACGGCAGCGGAGGAAGGAGACCGGGAGGAAAGATGACAGAACGCAGTCAGACCCACGTGATCCTGCTGTCCTGCGGCAGCTTCAACCCGATCACCAAGGGACACATCCACATGTTCGGTGAGCATCTGTGGGTGTTCGGGCGGGGGGGGGGGGCGCTGTCCCGCTAGCCGGTGCTGAAATGGACGACGGCTCCCCCCGGAACGAGAAGGAACAAAAAGCAGAAGATCCCCCGCGGGGGTGACCCGATGAGCCGGGGTGTTGTTTTTTTTTCGCGGGGCCTCGACAGGAACACCCCTCCCCCCCTGGGGCCTTGGTCAACGGCTCCTGCGTCCATAGCTGAATTATTTATGACTCATCAAAGACCTCCTACTATTATATGACGAGTCACACCGACACTACATAGTACACAGTATACATAGTATACACAATACAGTATACTTTAGTACAGCACAGTACATGGTATACACCATGCAGTATATGCAGTTTAGTACGCAGTATGCAAAAGAAAGTACACAAAGTACAGTACAGAGTACAGTACCTGTACATGGAATACAACAATACAGTACCAAGTATACGCAGTACAATAGTACAGTATACAGTCCAGTACTCTGATGAGGGTGTTGAGATGCAGCAGCCATGTTTCCATGGTGACCTACTTCCAGCAGCTCCTCCTCCTTCTCCTCCTCCTCCTCCTTCTCATCCTGCTCCTCCTTCTCCTTCTTCACGGCCTGAACAATCCACTTTGTCTTCTGCTCAAACTTCTCGTTCAGGAGCCGATTCTCGTGTCATTATTATCCTCTTCCTCTCATCCTGTCACCGATGACGTCACTTTGATTATGTCACAAAGGGCCAATCAAAGTGGTTGAAGTCTCTTTAGTCAAAGACACAGCTTTTATTTTGAAAGGTAAAAGAAAGGTAGGTAAAAAGAAAGTTGGACACATCTGGTTCAATCTTTGTAGACCTACACTACAGTATATGAATCATTCATACATTCTGCAGGATCGGGGGCGCAAATCTCAGTATCGCCGAGGGCAGCCAGCGGGCTCGAGCCGGCCCTGTATGAAGGACTACTGTTGTACTGCGTGTACTCTACTGTGTCCAATGTGCACTATGCTGTGTCTGTTTGTACTGTTTTATGTATACTATGTACTCTGTACTGGGGCGACCGTGCTGCATGGAGTAGAGATGGTGCGCCGAGAACCGCAGGGTTGGCAGTTCTAACCCCGGCTGCTCCATGTCCCATGTCGAAGTGTCCCTGAGCAGGACATCTAATCCCTAACTGCTCCCCGGGCGCCTTTACGGCAGCACACTGCTCCCACTGTGTGGCGTATAGAGTACAGTCCTAGCTGTACTGCTGTACTTGAGAGCAGTACTTGATCTGATGTACTCAGTTCCCTTTGTGCTTCTTGTGTTCGCAGAGAAAGCCAGAGAGTACCTGCACACGACGGGTCGCTTCATCGTCATCGGAGGAATCATCTCGCCGGTCCACGACTCCTACGGGAAACCCGTGAGTCCTTCGTGGTTCTATTTGTACAATTTAGTCTGAGTACTCCTTGTGAATGGAGTACTCCAAACGCTGGCTGGCGCTGTACTCTGGAACTAACAAAGCTCTCTCCTACTTCTGCCTGTGAAGAAACACACAGTATGAATAATAAATACTCCAGAAAGTATTCTGATGATAATAATACTCCACACAATAATTCATCAGTGTGTACACTATGTACTACGTAGCCAGTGGTGGAGGAAGTATTCAGTTCCTCTAGGGAAGGAAAATACTATTAAATACAATGTTACAGTAAAAGTACTAAGACCACACAGTACACATATAACGTAAGTGGCCAAGGTACCGACTTCTCATCATCCATCCATCCATCCATTTTCAACCACTTATACGGAGTCGGGTCGCGGGTTCTGCCGCCCAGGTCGGTTCCGTCTAGACGCCCCCACTGTCCTCGTGTCTCATATGACCTAGTGGCCTTGTGTCTTGCTGTCCTCGTATCCCCATGTGTCCTCGTGTCTCCACAGCAGACATACCTCCCTCACCTCTTTGTGTCTTCAGGGTTTGGTTCCCAGCAGACATCGTCTCACCATGTGTCAGCTGGCCGTGCAGTCCTCTGATTGGATCAGGTGAGTCGCCTGATCTCCTCTGATCTTTGATCTCATCCCAGTCTCATTGTATCTCATATTAGGAGATGATTAGTTCTATTATGACATGTTAGATGTTCAGTTGTTGCTCCCTATGAACCCAGACCCTTTATTCATCATTGTGATTAGGGTGGACCCTTGGGAGAGTTACCAGGACACCTGGCAGACGACCTGCAGCGTTCTGGAGCACCACCGTGACCTGATGAAGGTGAGGACGCGTTTATCCACCAATGCCATCGTGGTGCAAAACGGAGATCAGATCGCCGACCCTTTTAAAGGAATATAAAGTCGTAGGCATGCAGGCCTTTGGAGTCGCCAACTAGGGCTCAGGATCCACATCGTCGCCTCTCTGGTGGAGGAGCAACCGGCGCTGGTGCCGAAGGTGTTGTTCTATCGACATTTAGTTGGGCTCATGGCGACGGTTCTGGAACCAAACGGCGGACTCTGGGTTTTTTTTTCCAGGAGAGATTCTCGTGAGCTATTGTGTTGGAGTTTAGCCCCGATGGGACTGTCGGTCTCTGGCTCTTGGTTGTGCCTATGCACCTTCTCAGAGTCTCTGGGGCCTCCTGGAAAGGTTGACTTGATACTCTTATCGATCTGCTGGGGGACCTTAACCCTCATGTCAACAATGGAGACACCTGGAAGAAACAATCTGTCAGATCTTTTATGCTGCTCACGGATTGGTCGTACCACACGCCGCCTTGGAGCACCGTGAAACACGTTGGAACACCTCAGGGCAAAGTTCTGAAGGTCATATCATCGGATTTGTTGATGTGATGTTTTGTTTCCTCAGAGAGTCACCGGCTGCATTCTTTCCAACGTCAACACGCCATCGATGACTCCTGTGATTGGTCAGCCACAGAACCAGACCCCACCCGTCTACCAGGACCACGGCAACATTAATCACAAGCCCTCAGCTAGTGAGTCGCCTTCCTCCATATTCATCCATCAGTGAGGGCTGAAGCCTCAGATGGGGATTTGTCGATGAATGTGAGTCTCACTCCTCTCTCCTGCTGCTCTCTGCTCAGTCAAGCTGTGGGGGAAGGTCAGCGAGAGCTTCGGAAAGATCTGCTGCGTCCGTCCTCACATCGACCGCTTTACCTTCGTCGGTGAGTAGGAAAGTTCACTGTCAGAAAGTAAGTAAGTCGGTTACCCTGATAACAAGCTGCAGCTTGGAGGTCCTGTTCCATCGTACCAACTAGTTGGTTTCTAAAACCTTTTCACATTTATTCCTGTATTTTTTTGTCCGACAGCTCACAAGCTATGAACCCGAATCTAAAGCAGCTGAGGCTCATGTTACCAACAAGTTTCTCATCTCCACATCCAGCTGTCGCACATCAAACGTGATGATTTGTGTCTCAGCCGATGAATGGAAGTCCAACATTGTCTCTTTTAGCTCTGTTGTTGTTCTCCCGTATCTACTGAGAGAAACGTCTCTTAAGCTGCTAAATGCTGCTCTATGTTCACCAGCGGGTCACTGACTGGTTCCTGCTGCTGAGCAGGTAGAGTACAGAGTCACACGAGAAACTCTTAAACCGGGAAGGAAAAGTGCAGCAACACCAACACAAGATTTCTGTGTGTTTGCTGATAAAAGCCATTTAATGTCACACTGTCACACTGATCCACAACACGACATACTGAGTGCTGCATGTTAAACCAACGTTGCTCCTCCATCAGAGCAGCGTCGGTGGTCCGTTGGCAGCGTTCCTCCAGTGGAGCATTGAGGCTTTGGTCGCGTGCGATGAGGAAACACTGAATGAATTTGTGTTGTGTTTTTTGTCAGATGAAAACGCTAACCTGGGGACGGCAATGAGGTACGAGGAAATCGGTGAGTCGTCTCTCTGAAAGCTGAACAAACTCCTGTGTGGTGTCCTCTGGTTTTCCTTCCTGCTGTGTCTGACTCCTTCTGGTTTGTTTGTATCCAGTAAACTTGTTGTTTACCGAGTAAACATGTTGTTTACTGAGGACGTGTCTCTCTCCTGCCTGTTTGTCGTCTGTAGAGTTACGCATCTTGCTCCTGTGTGGAAGTGATCTCCTGGAGTCCTTCTGCATCCCTGGTCTGTGGAAGGACAGTGATGTAAGCACACGCTAGCCCAGCCCCCAAGCCACATGTAGCCCCGCCCCCTCGCTATTTCCCCCCAACAGGTCATTTCGATGGTTGACAAAGGAAATATCTGCCAAAAGAGAGCGTTGGCATGTGGCCTTACTCGTCTCTCAGGCTGCTAACGCGCAAAACATCATGCTAATATGAATGCTAGCTGTTAGCGAGCGACCAGGAAGGAATTCAAGGGTTCAAATTATATTCAATTCAATCCATTTTATTTTGTCCCAAAATCGCAAATTACAAATTTGCCTCAGAGAGCTTTACAGTCTGTACACATACAACATCCTCTGTCCCGAAACCTTCACATGTCACAGGGAAAACTATGAAGACCCTTCCATGGGGAAATAAGGGTTTATGATGACAGTAATAATAACATGATTCATATTTAACATAGTAATAATGATGATGATGATGATGATGATGATGATGATGGCAGCAGCGGGTGTCAGCAGGGCCACGGCAGGAGGCAGGAACAGGGTCCAGACGGAACCACAATCTACGTAGACCTGCGAGGCGAGAAAGCACAAAAAGCTCTGGGACAGTTATATTGAATCAGTATAATAATTGTTAGATATATAATATAAGTATTTTAAATTCTTAGAGACAATGTAGTCAATTGAGATAATGCTTTAATAAAATGTCTTGTTCTGGTTATCCCCAACAAGATAAAAATCTAAAAATCAATTTGTACACATCCCATGTATCGAGGCTATAAAGAAACAGAGCTTCTGATTGGACCAATCTTCTTCTTGTCAAAGTGTGAGCAGATAGCGAACAATCCTCCTGAGTGGCACCAATTCAGACGAGAGGTCAAATGTTTTCACCTCAGAGAAACACTTGTGCTTCGAGGCTTCGCGACTCGTAAATGTGGTAAAGAGCTGGAATTTGGGTTCTTTTTAGAAGCTTTTCTTTATGTCTTTGTACCCAAGTGAGCAAAGAGGACGACGCGCTTCACACTGAAGGAGAAGGCTGCAGACTCGTAGGCTGTTATGAAATCTCTCTGGTGACTCGTCGCTGTCAGTGTTCGTCCACTAAAAGATTCAGCCAACGGCATTATTTTCATTTGAAGTTTATCTTTTTAGTCACGTCCACGGTGAGGAGATGCAGCCCTTTCCTTCGGTAATGGACCAGATTTAAACAACATGGGTCATTGCTTTGTCTACAGAAGGAAGGAGAAGCCTAGTTCTCTTTGCGGTCGGTCCGGAGTATTGAGCGTGTGCAGCCCGAGTACTGAAGGTGTTTTTTCTTGTGGTTTTAGATGGAGGTGATCGTGGGGGATTTCGGAATGGTCGTGGTTCCTCGTGACGGAGCCGACACCGAGAGGATCATGAACCACTCATCTGTCCTCCGCAAGTTCAAGGTCGACACTCTAGATCCGTCTGACGTAGAAACATCCTCCTTTCGTGGTCTCCTCTGATTTCTTCTTCTTCTCCTTGTTCTCAGGACAACATCACCGTGGTGAAGGACGGCATGAGCCACCCGATGTCCGTGGTCAGCTCCACCAAGAGCAGGTGATGATGGTTGTTAGGGTGGGGAACATCACCGAGGACCAGCTTGTGCTCCACATGGATGTAGAACGTCTCCTTACTTACAGATGTTCGTTAGTCTACCGAATGTGCTCTTTACTTGTGGGCGACTGTGGGTGAGGGTTAAGGTGACGGTCGTCCTCCAATCAGAGGGTTGTCGGTTCGATCCCAGGCCTGGCTAACCCGCATGTCGATGTGTCCTTTGGCAAGACACTTAACCCGACATGGCTCCTGTAGCTGTGACTACAGTGTGTGGATGTTAGTGACTGATGGCAGGTGTCACTGTGTGTGGTTCTCCTGTCATCAGTGTGTGAATGGGTGAATGATGTCATCAGTGTGTGAATGGGTGTGAATGGGTGAATGATGATGTCATGTAGTGTTAAAGCGCTTTGAGTGGTCAGAAGACTGGAAAGGCGCTGTACAAGTACAGTCCATTTACCATTCCTTTACTAGAACCTGTACGTGGTTGTATAGGACTGTGTAATAACCTGAGTTCATTACTGCCCCCCCGCCCCCTCAGACTGGCCCTGCAGCACGGTGACGGCCATGTTGTGGACTACCTGAGTCAGCCCGTCATCGACTACATCCTGCAGAGTCAGCTGTACATCAACGCCTCCGGCTAGAGACCACAACCTGCATGAGAACAGTGCGAGGGGGGAGGGGCTACCTATGACATCACCCATACAAAATATAACAACCCCTCCCAACGAAAACTTCCTTCTCTTTCTTCTATGTCAAACATGCACTCTTCTTTGAGCTACTCCAGTGGAGCGTTCCTGTCCGTCCGTTTGTCTGTGTCATGTGACATCCCCATCGAGGGGGTTAAGTTGGGGGGTGATGAGGTAAACTCGGAGGGCTGCAGATGCATCAGGGACATGTTTCTCCACCGACAGTGAAGGCAGCGTTTCCCCACTCTCTTGTTTTCTGTCTTTGATGAAGTTCTGGGGTGCATGCTTAGTGTTTCCGGGGCAGGTGGGTGGAAAAAACGCGCCGGGATCAGGTTAGTGTTTCACTACAAAGAAGGGCGGGGTGATTGGACCAGAGAGCGGCTGCGCAAGGACAAGTCTCCCCCCCTCCCTCCTTTTTCTATCATGTCTTAACTAAAACTACAAATATAGATAATCAAGCAAATAAGAAAACACCTTGTCTAATTAACTTTTTAAAATTGCTGATGTACCATTTAATGTGACGTGTGTTTGCCGTCTTGGTCACTTCACCACATTTGATTACAACGCGTGAAAACAGATCACGCTTTTTGGCTTTAACCTAGAACCCCTCCAAAAAGGCACCTCTGCCTCGTAGCTGCACAGATGCTAACATGGTAACAGCCATGAAGACAGAATCACAATAAGTACGGAAACAAGCGCGAAGCCATTGTGGCACGCAACCTTTGGCGACACACTCAGCTTGACCTCCGACCTAAAAGGTCGCGCAATGAAAACCACAGGAAGATTTAACTGCCCTCTCACATCCTTTACGGCGCCGGAAATCAGTTGACAGGGTGACGATTAACTTTTGCAAAACAAATCCAACAGCATTGTTGTTGTTGTTGTTGTCCGTTGTTTTTTTCTTGTTCACGTGCTCCTGTTAGCTCTTCTTACCGTAGACTGCATGCTTAGACATGTTTGCAGCTGGCATGAACGTTCCTTACTTAGTAAAATGTCATCTGTCGTGAGCGTGTTTGCTGAAAACAAACAACAAAAAAAAAGATATATATTGAATTCTTTGCATTTTCTATTCACATTTATTTCCGTATAACTGTGTGTGTGTGTGCGTATGTTTATTTTGGGTCACTTTCTGTTGACCCATGTAGCTATAAAATAAATCTTGTTTTCTGTATTAAATTTGTTGCACCTACTTCTTTTTATTGTAAACTCTGATGCATTCTGTCATCTTTAATGTGTGTCTTTGCGCGTGTTAGTGTTAGTGTTAGGGCTAGCAATGTTTGTTTGTTAGTTGTGTGACACTAGCACAGTGTATGCTAGCTATGTGACACTAGCACAGTGTATGCTAGCTATGTGCCACTAGCACAGTGTATGCTAGCTATGTGACACTAGCACAGTGTATGCTAGCTATGTGACACTAGCACAGTGTATGCTAGCTATGTGACACTAGCACAGTGTATGCTAGCTATGTGCCACTAGCACAGTGTATTCTAGCTATGTGACACTAGCACAGTGTATGCTAGCTATGTGACACTAGCACAGTGTATTCTAGCTATGTGACACTAGCACAGTGTATGCTAGCTATGTGACACTAGCACAGTGTATGCTAGCTATGTGACACTAGCACAGTGTATTCTAGCTATGTGACACTAGCTCAGTGTATGCTATCTATGTGACACTAGCACAGTGTATGCTAGCTATGTGACACTAGCACAGTGTATGCTATCTATGTGACACTAGCACAGTGTATGCTAGCTATGTGACACTAGCAGTGTATGTGCTACCTATGCGACACTAGTTTAGTGCATGCTAGCTATATGACACTAGGTCAGTGTACGCTAGCTATGTGACACTAGTAGTTTATGCTAGCTATGTGATACTGCCCATGCCTGAAGTTTATGTCCACACTGTTGACTGGTACTTTACACATGTTTAACCGTAGATAAACCCTTGTTATTATAAAAGGTTATTGTATAAACAGACTAAATGTATGTTCGCATTAATTGATGCATCGAAACATCATTTAAATCAAAGCAATGAAGGATGAGACCACTGACACAGAAATCAGAAAATAGTGCAGCAGGTTTTTTTCAAAAGTTTTTAAAGCAGTTTAAATACAAAAACACATTTCTGTTGATTTCAATGACAACAGAACAAGTAAAAAATATGTGAAAAGATTCAGAAAATGTAGTTTTTGTACACCTATAAATAGAACACTTTTACATTCATTAGTAGTTGTGTGCAATGAATTAGCAAAGAAATCCAACATTCCGTAGTTTTTAAAAAAAGTTTTCCTCCGCTAAGCAATGATACCAAGTTGCATTGTGGGAAACGTATGATTCAGTGTTATGTTTTAACGTTTGTTACTCAAACCAAATGAGAGAGCAATCACAAAAGCTGAAGACTGAGGCTAAATCTCTTATAAATGGTTATAAATAAAGATGTTTTAACTTTTTTTTAATATCCTTTACGGTATTTTTCACGTAACATTGTACAAATACGATTGTTAATCGGTGCGTTTAGCAGCAGGACAAACACTTTGTGATAAAAGTAGAAAGCTCCAGGTGGTCTCAGGATCCTCAGGCCTCCTCGATGGGGGGGCTGTTAAAGCAGCCCTTGGGGACGGCCTTCAGGATGTCCTCCAAGTTTTCAATGTCCACTAGTATGGCATCAATATCCAGGTTGATGCCGCTCAGCCGGCGGCGCTGGGCCTCCTCCTGCTCCTCCATGTCCCTTAGCCGGGGACCCAGGCGGCTGTCCACGTCGTTCCGAGCGTCAGCCACAGACTTCTCCAGGCGCTCCAGCTGCGTCTCGTCCACGGCGCCAGTCTGGTCTGAGGAGGGAGAGGAGGAGGGTAAATGTCAATGTAAAATGTAAATGTAAAAGGGTAAATATCTCTATGCTCAGGGATCAAGGCTTGACCGGAGAGAGAGGCTGAACTCACTGAAGTTGGCAAGCAGACGGCGGATATCGCTCAGGGTTTTTCCCACGGAATCTCGGGTCCTGATGGCGTTGTTCAAAGCTTCGGTTGCTTCGACGGCCGCCTGCAGAGTGAAACATTCACGTGGCAATCAGGTTCTGATTTACTCCTGCTTTTCTTTTATTAGTTGGTTGGCTCCGTGGTGTTGTCAGGGTGTTGGTCTTTCCCAACTTTCAGATACCAGCCACCCTTTGAGTGGAGTTTCAGATGCTTCCTTCTGGGCTAAAAGCAGGACTAAGAAAGTATTTTGTGTCTGTTGTAGTTATTATATCATGCTTGCTGCACTACAAATTGCCCCTCTGGGTTCTGGCTTCTTCTCCTGGTGGAGATCATAGAAATAAATATTTTGAAATGGTTTTAACACGTTTTGTTCTTGCAAAAAGAGCAACGGACCCCATATTACGTTACAGGTCATTTAGCTGACACTTTTATCCAAAAAGCGACTTACATTGCATTTTAAACCCATGGCTTTTACATGTTTGGGGGAGCAATTAGGGGTCCGGTGTCTTGCTCAGGGACACTTCGACATGGGACATGGAGCAGCCGGGGCTCGAACGGCCAACCTTGCGGTTCCCGGCGCTCCCTCTCTACCCTTGCTCTACCGCCGACCCCACACATATAAGCTATGGGTCAATCCTATGCAACCCAATAATGGGCCCATATAAGGTATGGGTCAATCCATGCGTCCAGATGATGGCCCTATATAAGGTATGGGGCTATCCTATACAACCCAACGCTGCCTCTTCTCGTACTTTTCTAGGCCACAGGTACATTTTCACTTGAGTCTAAGTCATTTTCCATCACAGGGAATAATTTATAGGGTATAAACTTAAACCTTACCTCCTGGGCGCCGGCCTCAAGCATCCTGCCTTCATTCAACTGTGATTCTACCAATCCTGCGGTGTTTGAGGCCTTCTTCTTCAGGTCCTGAGAGTCCTTGTTCAGTTTGGTGGCTTCATTCATTAGACCAGTGAGAGGCGGCAAAGATCCAAACGTTCCCTGAAAAGAAAAGACGGAAGTAGGACTAAATTGCAGTTTTCTACAACAAAAACTACTTTAATTCACAAAACATAAATGCCAAGGAGCAAACCGCGGACCACGAACATGAAAAACTCACAACATAGAAAAAACACTCAATGAACTGACAAATGACACAAAGGTTTAAATACACTGGGACCGAGCAGGTGAATCATGGACAGGGCAAACAATCACAGGGGGTAACGCAACAGGGCAGGAAGTGAAGGTTACCCAGGTACAACGAGAGGCAGAAACAAACCACCAGTCGGCCAGGACTGCATCCTTATCTATAACTATATAGTTTATGTATATAGAGCAGCGGTGGCCAACCTTTCTCGCCTCACGGAATGGTTTCATGTGGGATAGTACAGTATTTTGCCGACCGGTCTTGAAGGTGAGGCGAATAAACACAACAATATAACCCGGGGGTTATAGTAGTCGTTGCTGTAGTAGTAGTTGCTGCATACGGCAAAAATGAATGGATGGGGACCACTGAGTATTCAATATCAGCATTCCATTTCCACATAACTTTCCATAAGCAGAGATCAAAGATGCCGGAAAAGAACAAAATAAAATACTAGCGTGGATGATTCAGAGAGACTGAACCTACGAGGAGGTCAACGTTTGAACTTGGAGGCGTTTCGAAGCAGGTAACGGACAGCTTTGGTCCGAGTTTCTGTGACACGATTGATGTTTTACAGATAAGTTTGTCTGAGTGTGAGAGTTTGTCGGCCTGTCTCTCTCCCCTGTCCGTCTACCTGTATGTCGGTGATGTTTTGTTTTTTTACCTCCAGACCGGTGACCAGGTCCCCCAGCACGCTGATGGTCCCGAGAGCCTCGTCAAAGTCTTTGGAGACGTCCCGCAAGACGGCGTCCGTGTCGGCGTTGTTGCGGACGGCCTGTTGGACAGTGGCGTTGATGCCGGGGAGACGCTTGATGGCAGTGTCGGCCAGAGATCTGCTGTCCTCAATCTGCTGGTCGAAGCCTGCAGAGGAGGCAGCCTGTCTTTACGTCTGTCTGCTTGTTTGTCTTTCTCCCTGTCTGTCTGTCTACATGACTGTCTGCGTCTCTGCCTGTCTACCTGTCTGTACCTCTCAGGGTGCTCAGGGCGTCGTCCAGCTCCTTGGTGTTGCCATTGATGCGTCTCAGAGCCTCCTCGGTGTCGGTCTTGGCCACATTGACTCTGTCCAGCAGCTTGTTGAAAGTCTCCAAAGACAAAAAAACAACTTAACTTAACTAATTGGATCCCCCCCCCCCTTTTTGGATACTTAATCCTTCCCATGATGCTTCAGTACCTGCTGGGCGTCCTTGCCTGCTGCCAGCAGGTCCCCAGTGACGGCCTTGTTACGCTGCACATCGTCCTGCAGCGCCTCAAGGCTTGAGACGTCCGCGTCCACCGCCTGCTTCAGATCATCCAACCTGGTCACCATGTTGTCCGCCTGCCCCTGTGCATGATGGGAGAACAGAATATGAACCTTGAGTGACTCCCGGGAGGACTCGTCGGTGTTTAATGTGGACATCTTGGTCTCACATTCAGGGGCAACGGGAGGTTTCGCTCCATGTTGGCGATCTCCTTCAGCATGCCGTTCGCCATGTTGCTCTCGTCCGCGGCCTCGCCACTAAGCCGGGTTGCCTGGTTCTCCAGACCCTTCACCTGGGCCGAGTTCTTATCATACCTGGATATGAGGAAATCATTGCTTCAGAGGTTATTGATCGTCCCCCGGGGAACAGCTCTGCCTTAGACTTCAATTCCCATGAGCCTCAGCTCAAAGAACCCTGTTAGGACAACAGTGATTCCAATTGATCCCAAATTGATCCAAACCTCATTGTAATGTCTACTTTTATCCAGCAGGTTTCACAAAGATCTCCCTTGTCATCGTGGTTGGATGAGAAGGATGAACATTTACATTCAGACAGACTATTCTACGCGATGCACCTGCAGACGACACAAATCAGAATGACGCCGGGTGCGAAAAGTGCTCGGTGGAAGGTTCCTTTGTCAGAGCGGCACAAGGCGATCTCAGTTGGGTGATATGGACCCGCCTCCTCCTCCTCATGCCAATTCCATGTAACCGTTTTTAACTGTATTGAGAATCTGACACAACACAGCGACCTGCAAGTAGCGCAGCGTCTTAAATAAATCGATGTGTGTCTTAATGCGGCTTTAGAAAATGAACACATGAACACAAATAAAGTCTGAAACTGGTCATTTGGTCGATGTTTTGATTACCAACCGAAGCCAGTTCAGTGTTTCCTCATCATCATAACTCCTCCCCACATCAAGTCACTGCAAACAGGCTTCTGGTTTTATCTGTGTTGTGTATCATGCGGGTCGATACGTTTGTCCCTTCAGCCTCTCTGAATATCGTTATGTTCCATCATCAGAACAGCAGGTCACGTGATCTGAAGGCTCCTCTGGTCACGTAACAGGTCACACACTGAGAGTTTGTCCTTAATGGAATTCATTTCCTCTTACATTACATTTACTTTTATACTTTAAGTACTTTGAAACCAGTACTTACACTTCTAAAGTAAAACACAGAAGTCTTTTCATACCTTAGTACCTATACATGAATACCTTTGGTACCTCTGCACAACACCCCGTGTTAGAAACCCTTAAGTGGAGGCGCTTGGACTCACGTGGTTTGGAGATCTCCAATCAGCTCCTTCACCTTGTTCTCTTTGTTCATGAGGGTGCGAACGAGAGCCAGACTCCTCTCCGAGTTGCTCAGAGCCTCGTTGGCGCTTCGCTGCACCTCATCCGCCGTCGCCGTATGTCTGTGGGTCGGGACAGGAAGTGATGAAGGCCCAGGGTGGACTTTCACAATCACTTCCCCATGAAAACACTTCACAACTCACTTGTCGGCCAGACTGATGGCCATCTCCTTCAGAGACGAGAAGACGTCGGACCCCTGTAAAGCGTCTCCGAGAGGAATCTCCTGAGGGAAAGGAAGAGTCCGAGGGGCTGGTAAGAGTAGCACTGTCATCTGGACCTTCTCGCCGCCACAGTTCTCCACCACACCCTTCTAGTTACTACCTGAACCACTCTGATCGCCTTCAATCCAATGATGTTCCTACTTGATCTGATTTATCAGAAGTCTTTGTCAGTCACTGAAGATGGAAATCCAACGCGACGGTATATTTACATTATTTTTCCTTCAAACTTCCGATGGGACATCCTCACTTACAGCTGATCTGAGGTCGGCCTTGGCTTCGTCCAGTTTGCGTTTCATCTCCTTCATCAGACTGCGAACCTCCTCCACCTTTGTCTTGTACGTCTGCTGCTGTCGTTCGACTTTGCCGGCCGCGGCGCCGATGTTTTGGAGGAGCCGGCCGTCAGCCAGCTGACTCCGGCTGATGGACGACAGGCGGCTCTGCAGGCTCTTCTCCAGTCCTGTGGGACACGCCATGCGTTTGTCATCGTGCATCCAGTGAGTGACGAGCCTGACGGAGGGCGAACGAGCCTCTCACCTTCCAGCAGCTCGGTGTCGTACTGCAGGTCGTCCACCAGCTCCTCGATGCCCCTCAGGGTCGCCTCCATCTGATCCCTGCTGTCCGGGTTCAAACCCGCGGCGTCCTTGTCTGACAACAGGAGCTCCAGCTGCTTCAGCTTGCCAGCGTATGCCTCCATCTGAAAGATTAACCCTTTACATTCCATCACATGTCATTTATCTGACGCTTTTATCCAAAGCCACTTACAGTAAGTTATTCAGCCATAAGGACACAAACTCAGAAGAACAGGAAACAAGAAGGTGCAACTTCATCAAATAAGCCAGTTTACAACTCGCTGTAGATTAGTGGCGTTCTAGGACCCTGAAGCAGCTAAGAAGATGGTAGCCGACCCCTCTCACCCCGGACCTGTTAGTGCCCCTTCCATCTGGCAGGAGGCTGAGGTCCATCAGGACCAAGACCTCATCAACAGAGCCGGACCCCCACTTTCTGTTCGCTGGTGCACTTTAATTTACATTTTAAAACATTTTAACTTAAACTTTTATTTCTTTATTTTTAAACTAACCCACAGCATTATATTTATTTTATTCCTGCACTGTTGTCTTGTCGTCCATTGTCGTACTGTCTGCTGTCACGCACCAACCGCCAAGTCGCATTCCTTGTATGTGACATATGATGTTTCCTGATTCCTGATTATAAGTCCAATGTAAGTGCTGCAGTTAGTTAGTGTGTTAGTGGAGGTAGAGTGTGAAGAGGTGTGTCTTTAGTCTGAAGATGTGAAGGCTCTCTGTGGTCCTGATGTCTTCAGAGACCTCCTTCCACCATTTAGGAGCAGGACAGCAAAGAGTGGAGATCTAGTCGAGTGTTTTGCTCTCAGTGAGGAGGAACAAGCAGTTCAACTTGAACAAGCGACTTGTTCAGACCTGTTTGTTTCACCCGATTTCAACCCGGCGCCTTGAGCGCGATGTGAGGAAAGCAGGTTGTCTGTTAGTAACAAGGTTCCACACCGGAACCTTCATGACCACATAGTCAGATCAATGAACGTTGCATTACCGTCTGTCCAACCCATATTTCTTACACATTCTGTTGTAATAAACTAAATGATTTTCTCAAAGAAATCCCTTATTTGAGGATAGAGTTATTTTCTTTTTCTCTAAACTAATCCCACCGGTGAATCGGTGAACCCGTTACCTTTGTCCTGATGGGGCTGAAGCAGGCGGGGCAGTCGGACCTCAGGCACCTCAGACCCTCGTAGCCGGTTCTGCAGCGACAGCGACCCGAGTCGTCACACTGTCTGGACTCGGAGCCCTGGAGGTCGCAGTCACACGCTGGCCCACGAAAACCACAGAGGGAACATCTTAGGTTTCTCCCCTCGATGCAGAGCATCATGTCAAAGCTTAAACATTTGCTTTTCTTTGCCTTTGGATCTCAAACCGTTTATACGTTTCTTTACACGACACAAAATAAGGTGATCATTCATTGAAAGCGTGATTAGCAGGCGTTACGTTTGCAGGCGTCGGTGGCTCGTTGGTGGTAGAAGCCGGGCACGCAGTCCTGGCAGCCGCTTCCCCTCGTGTTGTTCAAACACCTCAGACATTCGCCGCTGCTGCGGTCGCAGCTTCCCGCCACGCCGACGTCGATGTGTCCGTTACACTGGCAGGGCCGGCAGGTCTGCTGCTCCACGTCACCGCGCGGGGGGGCGCCGTAAAAACCCTCCATACAGGTGTTGCAGCGAGGACCTGAGGGGAGGTTTTACAGATGTTTTTTGTTATGTGTGTGTGAGGAGGACAAGCTGCTTGATGGAACACAAGACTCAAGAAGGACGTGGGGCATTCTGGGTCACCTTCAGGTTACAACCTTGTTTCAAGTCAAAGTGCTAAAGGTAGGGCGGGGCTACGCGCTGATTGACAGCTCTCTACCAGAGAGATCATATGATGAGAATGTGTGCGGCGTAGACCAACCCGTGGTTCCGGTAGGGCAGCGGTCACACCGGGCCACCAGTGAACCGGCCGGCAGCGAGCAGGACACTCCTTCCATACAGGGACACCTCACGCAGGCACCGGGCTGCCACGGGTCGCGGTAGAAACCCTCCGGGCAGCCGCGCTCTCCGGGCGTCTCATCGGCGGAGTAACAGTCCCCCGTCTGCGGGTCGCAGCCGCCCCCTCGGCAGCTGCAGGGCTCGCAGCGGCTGAAGGCCCCCTCAGCGGGGTTCCTGCGCCTGAAGCCGGGCGAGCACCGCTCGCAGAACTCGCCGTCGTAACCCGGCGGGCAGCTGCAGGTCTGAACCCAGCGGGCCGGGGCGCCGTCGGCTCGCTGCGCCGTCACCAGCCGCACGTTGGCGAGGTATCCGCGTCCTGGGAAAACAGGTCAACAATCCAGATCCTCACGCATATATCTGACATCCAGAGTCTTACTTTGAAAAACTGAGTGGGAGCAGAAGGAAGAGAAAAAAAAGAAGCGAACCATTTTCTCCAAACGTGGCCCGGATCTTGACGGCCGTGAGGTTCTGGAGGAGCGTCTGGAACTGTGAGGCCGAGAGCTGAGGCTTCCACCTGCTGCCGGGCTGCTCATCCAGTCTGTTCATCGGACACAAGGAAGGATTTACCTTCAGCACCAGTGAGAAGCTCAGCTGGAAACCTCACATGAAACACTGAGCCTTCAGAGTAAAAGCACGTGGAACTAGTAGCAAGCCTGGAATTGCTACAATAAAAGCTATTTTTATGTAAGAAGAAAGTGAACAATGGTCCAACTTTACTTATTTGTTGTTTTGCATATTTTCTAACCATTTATTTCAACACATCTGATATCTACAAAACTGTAAAGCTGATGTGCTGTTTAAGTCTAATGCAAATCCAGCAATGGCAGTCCGATGCAAAAGTCTCCATATTAACTTGGTGTGTTTACAGATGGCATGAGGTGTGCAGACCCAGTAGGTCATCGACAAAAATGGGAAACGTTGAGGACAAAGAAGTTCTCTTCAGCACCTTCGCCCTCCAAGAGGCGTCTGCTGAGTGTTGTTATTTAGTTTTGACATGATAGTTTCATGGATGAAACACTGTGCTTCTGTTGGAGGAGTTTGTCTCTACTTGCTCTCATGACCTCATCGGGATCCTTCAGGAATGTTCCCCCTCGGGTGAAAAACTAAAACATTTCAGTTGCATCAAGAACTTGATTCAACCAGCGTGGAGCACCATGGGGACAGTGGCGTTTCTTACCTGAAGCTGTAGTTTATTTTCTGTCCACAGGGGACGAGGGACCGCAGGTCGCCCAGGGAGGCTGCCACTCGGAGGCCGCCGCCCTCCAGGACCACGTCGCTGGTGGACGGGTGGCGGACGCCGCGGTCCAGACGCAGCGAGAAGGAGAAGTTCTGACCGTAGCTCAGCAACTGATTCCCCAGGTAAGGAGCTGTGGAAGGGGAGAGAAAACACCTGGTGAGGAGGCGAGGAAGGAGCAGAAGGGTACGAAGGAGGAGGTGTGGAAGACAAAGGAAAGAAGGAAAAGGAGAAAAGAGAACAGAAGATGTGGTGGAAAGGAAAGAAATATCTTTGCAGGAGGTAAAGGAGAGTGAAGAAGGAAAAAGATAGAAAAGAAGGACAAGGAGGCATGGAAATAGAATGAGGAATAAGAAAACAAGTGAGGGAAGCGAAGGTTCGAAGGTAGGAGGCGATAAGGGGGCAATCCTAAAAAAAGGAAAACAAAGAAGGACACATTGAAAGAGTCAAGGAGGGGAGACAAGGAAAGGAAAGAAGGGAAAAGAAACTGGTGAGAAAAGTAGACACAGAAATGAAAGTCATTGAGGGGGCGGGGCCTATTCTCACCTGGGGCGTACAGGTAAACGGGGAGGCTGTTTTTGGAGATCACCTCCAGGTCGTGGTGCTTCGGTGACCAGCGGAAGTGTACGTCATCGGGGATAACGCCCCTCGCTGTCGCCACCCACCAACCGTCCAGACCTGAGGACACAGTCCGTTACAACCAGTGTTCTCCGAGGCTTTTATGTTGAAATCTAACCCAGAAACCACTGTTAACCAATGAGATCAGCGGCTGGTCTTTTATTGTGAAAGGTGAACGATACCTTCGGCGAATGTGGAGGTGATACTGTGGATAGAGTAACCGGATTGTGGAGAACATTTGCTGCTATGACCATAACAGAAACACATCTGACTCCCAGAATCCTCTCTGGGCTGACGTCTAAAAGCCAAAACAAACAGGAAGTCAGAGCAGAAGTCTTCATTTAACAGCCTTCATTTAAAGTTTAAATTTAAAGTTAAAGCACTGAAAAGAGTTATTAGACTGTGGGATCATCTTAGCGGGTTTCTTAACCTTTGCGAGCAGCCGTTCGGTCCGACCGGTCCGTCTGGGCAGCGGTCACATTTCTCTCCAGTGACGCCATCTTTGCAGCTGCAGCGCCCCGTTCTGTCACACGTGACGCCGACAGAGCCTGAAGGGCAATGAAAGGTCAGCAATTACTTCCTCCCTTCACCCCTTCTGTGAGCGTGTTAATTGAAGTGTCTCCTCACCTGCAGGGTTGCAGCGGCAGGGCGTGCAGCTCAGCGCCGCCCCCACCAGGTTGAAGCCATCCTTGCAGCGCTCGCAGTGGCGCCCTGCAGTGTTTCCCTGGCAATTGACGCAGTGCAGCCCCCCGGCGTCCCGGAGGCAGTACTGAGATCGGCCATTGCAGTCGCAGCGCCCCGTAGCTGCAGAAGGAGACAGGGGACCATCGTTTAGTCCATTTAAACGTATCGCTCGTTGTTACAGAAGGTTAGCTCGTCTTGTAAACAGGTCAACCACCAGATCCTTATCTCCTCCCTTCAGGAACTTGGTGTCTCAGGCTCTGCTCTCTCTCTTCTCTCGTCCTACCTCGACGGCCGCACCTACCGGGTAACCTGGTGAGGATCTGTGTCGGAACCTTGTCCTCTTACTGCTGGAGTTCCTCAGGGTTCCGTCCTGGGTCCCCTCCTCTTCTCCCTCTACACCAACTCTCTCTCGCTGTCATTTGCTCGCATGGCTTCTCCTACCACAGCGATGCTGATGTCACCCAACTAATTCTCTCCTTCCCTCACTCGGATCTCTGCCTGTCTGACTGACATCTCTCAGTGGATCCGCCCACCATCTGAAAATCAACCCCGACAGACTGAACTACTTCTCTTTACGGGAAAATATTCTCCTACAGAGGACCTGACTGTTAACTTTGGCAACTTCGTGCAAACACCCACTTTGACCGCAAGGAACCTCCGCGTGACGTCGACAGCCGACTCTCCCTGACTCCCAACATCACTGACAACACCATCCTGTAGATACTCGCTCTACAACATCAGGAGAACACGTTCTCTTCTCACTCAGAAGGTAGTGATTCAGGCTCTTGTCGTCTCCCTCCTGGACTACTGTAACTCTCTCCTGCAGGTCTCCTGCTACCACCATTCAGCCTCTGCAGCTCATCCAGAATGCAGCAGCTCCACTGGTCTTTAACCTTCCTAAGTTCTCCCACACTCCTCCACTCCTCCGCTCTCTTCACTGGTACCGGTGGCTCATCCAGTTCTAAACATGGTGCTCACGTACCATGCTGTGAATGGATGGGGTCCAGCTCACATCCAGGACCTGGTCCAACCCGACATCCCGACCCGCACTCTCCGCTCTGCATGTGATAAACTGCTTGTTCCTCCTCACTGAGAGCAAAACACTCGACTAGATCTCCACTCTTTGCTGTCCTGCTCCTACATGGTGGAAGGAGGTCTCTGAAGACATCAGGACCACATAGAGCCTTCACATCTTCAGACTAAAGACACACGTCTTCAGACTCTACCTCCACTAACACACTAACTAACTGTAGCACTTACATCGGACTTATAATGGTTCTTATCTACAGCAAGTTGTACATCGGCTTATTTGATGACATTGCACTTTCTTGTTTCTTGTTCTTCTGAGTTTGTGTCCTTATGGTTGAAATGTTCTTATTGTAAGTCGCTTTGGATAAAAGCGTCAGATAAATGACGTGTGATGTAAAGGGTTAATCCTCTGAAGAACAGTAATGAGATAAGAACATTTCATTCAAATGAACTGTTGTATTTTAAAAACTGTATTTCCAATGTTGGTGTCAGCCAACCATCAGAAGACTGTTAAAGACTTAGGAAACAACTTTGAAGGTTCACAAAGGCCTTCAGAGTCTGGCTCAGAGATCCTTAACTAGAGCTGCACCTCGTAGCCCGAAGCAAGACAAATCACAGAGTCACACCCATAACCGGCCGACGCCTTGTCTGAGAGAACATCACGCACTCAGGAGCTCCTCAGGCTGCTGCTGGTTCAGACGGAGGGAGGGGGTCCATGGTGCAGTTAAGGAATGACGGGTAGGAAGAACCAAGAACCAAGAACCAGGTCCAGGGCTCAGGGGGAAGACTTGTTCAGGATTTCAACCCTCTGAATAACGTTTATGTCTCAAAGTTGATTTAATGATCCATAACTCAAACCTCCATCATCATCATCAGTATCATAAGCATAAGAGCAGGTACTCATGGTAGTGTAGAGGTAGTCAGTAGTACTAAAGCAGGTACTCACAGTAGTGTAGAGGTAGTCAGTAGTACTAAAGCAGGTACTCACGGTCGTGTAGAGGTAGTCAGTAGTACTAAAGCAGGTACTCACGGTAGTGTAGAGGTAGTCAGTAGTACTAAAGCAGGTACTCACGGTAGTGTAGAGGTAGTCAGTAGTACTAAAGCAGGTACTCACGGTAGTGTAGAGGTAGTCAGTAGTACTAAAGAAGGTACTCACAGTAGTGTAGAGGTAGTCAGTAGTACTAAAGCAGGTACTCACAGTAGTGTAGAGGTAGTCAGTAGTACTAAAGCAGGTACTCACGGTCGTGTAGAGGTAGTCAGTAGTACTAAAGCAGGTACTCACAGTAGTGTGCGGAGGCCCTTAGGCCACACAGCAGCACGGCGAGGGTCATCCAGCTGCTCTTCATCGTGGGGTGAATCCTCAGGAGAGAATGAAACTCAGACTTCAGGCTCCTGCTCACAGCGTCGTCTTTTATCTGCAGCCAGCAGGTCCCAACACGCTGCTCACACAGACACACACTGACTCACATGTGACACACACACAGGAAATGACTGTGTGTTGTTCTGGGTCTCGTCCTCCATATTTACATTTTTCTGACACAGAGACGAGAAGTGGAAGAGAAGGCCGCTCTGTCCCACTAACGCTCATCTCTGCTTGATAGTGTCTGATTCACACGGTTCAGGGTGCAGGAGGACGACCGTGCAGCCAATGAAACGTGAGCAAAACACGAAGGACAGATTGAAGAAAGAGGACCAGTCACAAGGAGATGTCCTGTTCCCTTCACAATAAAACCTTCTGTCATGTCCCGAGATACACAAAGTCCTTCATGCATTCATCTCATTAAGACGCCTCTGTGTCCCGAAGCCTCATTCTGTCATCGAAGGTTACACATGAAATCCCTGTAAACTGTGTCCTGAGGTTCAGACAGACACACCCTGAAAACACACTCACACACACCTACACACCATGATCAATCACACACACCCAACAGCATACCTGGTTACACAAACACCTTCCATACCGCAGAGCTGCACAAATACGCAGCCGCAGGGCCTCATTACTGCGTCTCACACACTCACACACACACACACACACACGCACACGCACACGTCTGGCTTGTTCTCCGTTGCCGTGCCGACGCCACACCCTGAACACACACGATACCTTTCTGCATTTCACAATGCTGCCTTCACTTTCCAGCTCCACTAACCGAATACTACAACTATGTTGTACTTATTTACTGCACCAACACTAGATTCAGTCTATCTGAAACGTACAGACAGAATACTTGCAGTATTCAAAACAGTATCACAAAAAGTACGACATAATAATTATTGTAAGTCGCTTTGGATAAAATCTGACACAAGTACAAAAAATAATTGTCAAATATACTAAAAGTAGTCACGCTAAAGTTCATTTTAATAACTATAACTTTACTTTATATTGTGGATAGTTCAATCTTTAACTACATGTAATCATTTTTTAGTTTTAAAATTAAAGATCTGTAAAGTAAAAAAAAAGCTTTCAGATAAATGCAAAGGAAGAGAGATATTTTCTATAGAAAATGGCAAAATAATAAATACTCAAGTAGAGTACAGGTACCTCTAAATTGTACTTCAGTACAGTACTTGTGTAAATGTACTTATTTATTATTCATATTCAATCAATCAATTTAATTGAATTGAATTTACTTTTAGGTTCACATTGTTGGACTAACTGGTCGCATCTCTGAATATACAACAATCATTTTGTATAATATACTTTACATATACTCTCCAACCAGATATTCATATATTTATGTATAAGATAAGAGTCCCACAATGGGGAGATTCACAGCATCGCGGCAGCCAAGTGGACAGTGCACACGAGATCCATGGTAAGAAAACAAGAGCCGCAGTATCATGATGATGAGAAAAAAACAAGAATAAAAATAAAAAGCAAGTGCAAAGGCCACAGTAACTAAGTACCAAATAAATATATGCATATGTACACATATCACAGCGGTTATTGGTTTTAGTGTTTTCAGTGATTTAGTGTCCTGTGGTTCACTGGTGGTTGTGCAGCCTGACAGCAGCAGGTGGGAAGGAGCCGGTATCTCCTTCACACACCGGGGGGTGGAGGAGCTGCACAGAGCTTCCAGGACGTCCACCATGGGGTGCGAGGTGTTGCTCATCAGGGAGGAGGCTTAGTCATCATCCTGCTGTCCCCCACCACCTCCACCGTGTCCAGTGGACACGCGAGCACCCTGCTGGCCTTCTTCATGAGCTTGTTGAGTCTCTTCCCGTCGGCTGCTGATATGCTGCTGCCCCAGCGGACCACTGCATAAAAAATGGCAGATGAGGTCTCCTGCACACCAAAGGACCTCCGTCTCCTCGGCAGATCGAGATCTGACCCTTCAGTGCACGGACGACATCTGTCCTGTCCAGTTTATTGTTCAAGTGAACATCCAGGTACTTTTAAGATCTCACAATCTCAATGTCCGTTCCCTGGATGTTCACTGGTACCGGGGCAGAGCGTTTACCCCGACAGAAGTCCACCACCAGCTCTTTGGTTTTGCTAGAGTTGATCTGGAGGCGGTTCTGCTGGCACCACCCTAAGAAGTCCTAGTTAAGTTCTCCCCGTCATCACCGGCGGAAATGAGACAGACGATTGCAGAATCATCAGAGGAGAGTAGTCATATTTAAAGTCAGAGGTGTGGTGAAGAGGAAGGGAGCTAGCACAGTTATTATCATGTCATATATTCTACATATGTTGGAGTTCATCCCTGTGTTGTGTGTATGTCTTAAATTCTAATTGCTTCCATTGCATGTTTGTCTTATAAACCACTCGGCAACTGTTGTGCATCTATTACAATAACCAGAAGTTCCTCTGCAGTGGACGTTCGTCCGCGGTGCAGTTCTCCTCCGGTCCGACAGGCGGCGCCACCGAGGAAACAGCCGACCAGCGGGCGACAACCCAGGCGACGACTCCCGCTGCGAGCTGGTGTTTGGTAGCCGCCGTTAGCTTAGCCTCGCCGACTGTAAGTAATACAGCGACCGCTAAAACCTTCACAAAGTAAACATTTGTACTAATTCCTCGGAGCGGTGGACCGCTAGCTAGCACGAAGCTAACGCTAGCTGAGCAGGTGTGTTGGTGAAGCTAACAGTACACCGGTGTGATGCTAGCTGATAGCCTGCAGCTAGCTTCACACCGACACTAACGGAGATACGCCGTATTGTCTAAAATAAGTCAGCAAGGTCCAAATTTAGTGCTGAAATCCCATTGTTCGGTCATCGTTTCCATCCCGAATCTAACTACTGTTTTAGTTATGATTAACTAAAGATCATAACTTAATATTAAGTCACGTCATGAAAGACGGGTGTGTTTACTAGCACAAAATGTAGTGTTTTATGAGTAGATTCTGGTGACCCCATTAATGGTGGTGATTTAAAGCTTTTTGTTGAAAGGCTGTTAATATAAATGACTCCCTATAATAGAACCACGTGCGTTCTGTAGCTAAGCAACGCAGATAACGGGCTGGTTTTGATCTCTAAAGACCTTTTTGTGGTAGTAAGAAAAATCCCTATTTTGGTCATATTTTTAATCCGATATTTGTCAGCAGGTCCAACACATACACCCCCCCCCCCTCCCCCCAGCCCAACATGGCCGACATCAAGAACTTCCTGTACGCCTGGTGTGGAAAAAAGAAGCTGACTCCCAGCTACGACATCCGAGCCGTGGGGAACAAGAACCGGCAGAAGTTCATGTGCGAGGTGAGTCTTTAGGTGTTTGCAGCTGGAAGGAGTTCTTCTGGTCGCTGGCAGGTTCCTTTGCCTTGACGGCGGTTTGCGGTGGTCGGATCACTTTTCGCACTCGGCGTCGCTCTGTCCCTTTCTAACCGCTGGGCTGCCCTCAGGTCCGCGTGGACACCTACAACTACATCGGGATGGGAAACTCCACCAACAAGAAGGACGCTCAGACCAACGCCGCCAGAGACTTTGTCAACTACCTGGTCCGCATCGGGGAGATGAACGCTGCCGAGGTCCCGGCTCCAGGGGTCAGCAAGGCGCCTTTAAGGCCTTTAGACGTTTGGGTGTAAAGGGTTCGGAATCAGACATCCGCCAGTGAATCCGCGAAGCTTTGGACTCAAGGTCGGAGTCTTGTTTCTACAGGTGAGCGCTTCAGGTGGAGACCAACCCCATGATGATGGAGGACCAGCAGCAGGAGGTGGAGCAGGAGTCGGCTTTGGAAGCCTCCCCTCCAGCGGTCCGCTGCCACCTCATCTCGTATTGAAGACTGAGAAAGGTACGAGGGATCAGCGGGAGGAGAGCAGATCAACGTTTCTGTGCTGTCGACACTAAAGGCGCTGGCGTGCTTCTGCTTCTGCAGCTGCTGCTTTTCACGCAGTCGTGTCAATGGACTCGTTTCACTTCCTGGTTGTAAAGTCTTGTTCAGTAAGGGAAGGAGAGCCATCACTTCCTTGAGTTGACTTGTTGGTGGAGACGTAGAAAGTATAAAATGTTCACTTTGCTTCTTGTTGTTAGAAGAGGCCGCCTGCAGTGGGCCGATACCAGGAGTGACTGGACTCGGCTACTCAGGAGGACGGAACTCTGGGTGGGGAGGAGGAGGAGGAGGAGGAGGAGCAGAATGGGAGCGAGGAGCCAACCTGAAGGAGTACTACGTCAAGAGGGACGAACAGGAAGCGCAAGCGGTACGAAACAAAGAGGAGTCGTCTCCGGTTCTTTAGTCCACCAGATGTTCTTTAGTGCTCTACCTCATGGTCAACAGGACTCGTGACTCAGAATCAGTTCACGTGTCAATGAAACATCTGGTTGCGTCTGTTAGAGTTGAAATAAGAACTTTCTCCTCGCTGCAGACTCTGGAGTCGGAGGAGGTGGACCTGAATGCTAGTCTCCATGGCAACTGGACCCTGGAGAATGCCAAGGCCCGCCTGAACCAGTTCTTCCAGAAGGAGAAGACCAGCGCAGAGTACAAATACAGCCAAGTGGGACCGGACCACAACAGGTCTGGACCAGAGAGCAGGAGGCCTGATGGGTCCATAGATCTCTAGATTGGGCGTTTGTTTTTAAGAGGTCCTCTCACACTGGTCCTTTTCTCCATGAGGCCATGTCATTGGCTCAGCGTGCCAGGCTCATGAAGGTTTGTCCAAAGCAGGAGGACCAGGAGCCTTCTTCTTGTGCCTGTGGCTCCTCTTTGTTTCTTCTCGTACCTCCTCTTCATCTCACCGGTTGTCCTCCCCAGATGTCTCTACGTGTTGCTGTGCGGAGTAGTGAGTGGCTCTGAATGGCGGGTCACGATGTCCCGGTATGTTTTTCTGCTGGACTGCTGTAAACTCTGAGACCTCCGGAGTGTGTCGGCCACACCGGAGAGGTCTCACTGTCTGATTGGTCCACGGAGCCTTAATCCCGTTAATAAGATACATAGATGTATGAATCACCTGAAGAGTCCGCCGTCTAAAATGTGGTTTGAATCACAGAGCGTTACGAGGTCGTATTCAGACTTTAGCTTTCATCAGAGATATTGATCCGTTTCCAAGCTTGTGACACAAGACGCGACGCCAAGAAATCAGAAGCGCCCTGAACAGCAGACACGGGACGGCGCTTAGGGGCACTAAGGCGGTCCCGTGGGTCCGTGCACTCGGTTCTGATCTCTTGGTGTCGCCGGCAGGGCCGACAGCTCGCTGCCTCACTCACCACAAGTCCGGCAGAAAAACATACAGCTCCTCCTCCTCCCGAGGGTGAGTCCACCGCGCCCCCCTCATCGCTTTATTCTGAAAGGGCCAAACAGGAAGTGACGGTGTGGCTTTGTTTGGTGTCCGCAGGAGCTTCATCGCAGAGATGCAGCTGTTTGTCAGACAGCTGGGAAGAAGTAAGAAACTCCTCCTCTGGACACACACACAATACACATAGTACACAACACTGTGCCACAGGTACACATAGTACACAACACTGTGCCACATCTCACAGGTACACATAGTACACAACACTGTGCCACATCTCACAGGTACACATAGTACACAACAACTGTGCCATAGGTACACATAGTACACAACACTGTGCCACATCTCACAGGTACACATAGTACACAACACTGTGCCATAGGTACACATAGTACACAACACTGTGCCACATCTCACAGGTACACATAGTACACAACACTGTGCCACAGGTACACATAGTACACAACACTGTGCCACAGGTACACATAGTACACAACACTGTGCCACAGGTACACATAGTACACAACACTGTGCCACAGGTACACATAGTACACAACACTGTGCCACATCTCACAGGTACACATTTTGTTCACTGACATAAACTCTTTACCAGCTGCAGCGACACTAAAAATACACAACGTGTTACTCTGATGCTTTTCCATCAGAAGGTCAAAGGTCACCGCGCTTTGTGCCCACAGGGATCACGGCGCGAGAGCACGGCTCCAACAAGAAGCTGGCGGCCCAGTCGTGCGCCCTGTCTCTGGTCCGGCAGCTGTTCCACCTGGGGGTCCTGGAGGCCTTCTCAGGGGTCACCAAGAAGAAGGAGGGAGAGACTGTGAGCCGCGTCCCCCCAACGCGCGTCTCCCGGGACGCCTCCATGTGGAACTGACTCGCTGATGTCGTGTGTTTCCCCCCAGCTGGAGGCCTTCGAGGTCACCGTGTCTCCGGACCTGCAGCAGCAGCTGGCCACCGTCGTCCAGCAGCTCGGAGTCCACGTCCCCCCTCGGGTGAGTCCCCGGATCTGATCAGCAGGTCGAGCGGTGTGAACAACCCGAGTCATCAACACATGCAAGGAGCGTACTCGAGCAAATACGTTCAGATGCCCCCCCCCCCATTCTCCCTTCCCTGTGACACCTTGTAGAAATGTACTTCCTGTTCGTCTCGGGCTCATAGTGGTTCTTGTGGTCTTCTGGTCCCATCCAGCCGGCGGACCCCTCCGACTCGGTGTCTCTGATTCAGGGGAAGTTGGCCACGTTTGAGCCGTCCCAGCGTCAGAGCGGAGCGGGGGTCGTCCCCTGGTCGCCCCCGCAGGTCAACTGGAACCCCTGGACCAGCAGTAACATTGACGATGGACCGCTGGCCTTCGTGAGTCCTCGCAGTGGAGCAGTGGAGCAGTGGAGCAGTGGAGCAGTAGAGCAGTAGAGCAGTGGAGCAGTGGAGGAGTAGAGCAGTGGAGGAGTAGAGCAGTGGAGGAGTAGAGCAGTGGAGCAGTGGAGCAGTAGAGCAGTAGAGCAGTGGAGCAGTGGAGGAGTAGAGCAGTGGAGCAGTGGAGCAGTGGAGGAGTAGAGCAGTGGAGGAGTAGAGCAGTGGAGGAGTAGAGCAGTGGAGCAGTGGAGCAGTGGAGGAGTAGAGCAGTAGAGCAGTGGAGCAGTGGAGCAGTGGAGCAGTGGAGGAGTATGAGCGAGTAGAGGAGTAGAGCCGTGGAAGAATAGAGCCGTAGAAGCGTAGAGGAGTAGAGCCATGGAGCCGTAGAGCCGTGGAGCCGTTGAGCCGGAGAGCCGTTGGGGAGTTGAACCGTTGAGGAGTAGAGCCGT